TTCATTTAATGATTTTCCCCTCAAAACTTATAAATATATCAGGAACTTTTAGTCTGATACAAAAACTAAGATGCTAGTATAATTTTTTTTCATATGTATCATGCATTGAATACAGATATAAAGACGAATATGGAACAAAAAGCAAAACTTAAATCGCTTCCATTCTTACTAGTATGTCTACACTTTCTCCCCACTCACCATTTTCCAATCTCGACTCACTTAAAGATCTATCATTATCCAGAATATTTACATAACTTTGGTCTCCATTCCTAACAACAGCTTGATTTATCATTCCACTTGGTCCTGTAATAAAAGAATAACAATCAATGCTTATAAGGAAAGCCTATGATATTAATCTACATTGTTTGAAGTAAAGGAATAATATACACACTAATAATGTATTCCTTGCCTGGAATAATTTCATCGGAAAGGTCCGATTCCGCAAGGTAGATTAACTGTTGAGCATTTGATGGCAGTGCATGTGTTGGTCTTACGTATGAAGTATTGTACACTGATTTTTGAGCATGCTGACACAAAATACTATATCAAAAGTACATGGAACTTCGTAATAGAAAGAGAATAATAATGAACGCTAAGATGAATGTCTATAATAATGTTTATTTTTATACAAATTGAAACAAAGAAGATGACATACTTTTAAATCGGCACAAAAGGAACAGAACCATTCTCCTCTAGGCACACTATCAAGTTTTTCCGGTAAGCAGTAACAATGGCATCTGAAACAAACTTATATTCCAGATAAATTAGCTTGCCATATGTAAAATTGCTTTGAACGTAGAAGCAGCACTTCACTATCATACAACAAAACATAATTGAAATATGTTTCGTTACATTCAAGTATATAAGCAACAAAATAATAAAACAAAAACTTGAGACTACAATCAAAAAATTCACGCAGCATTGCAACGGATAATCGTGCCATCCACATTGTGTCCAACAATACCGTCACATAATAACAATAAATGTTCATCTTTTGATAGACCGCATACTTGACATCTAGCATATACTACTGTTATATCCTCCACAGATTGAACTGGATCACCAAGATCGTATTGGAATGAAATCTAAAAGCATACAAATGATACAAATCATCATAGAAACAGTAATTTGCAAGTTAATTACCTCTCTTTCATACTCAGTAGCTGTTCTCTGTCTCACCACTATTTCGAAATTTTCATTAACTTTATTTATGACGATTAAAGATTTCGTTTGCTTCTTACACAATGGACACTGGGACCTTTTCTGAAAAATACTGTGTCAAAAACAATGCATTTCCACAAAATCTTAAATTTCATGAAGTAGTAGCTAAAATTTTTCAAAAGACATTGTACTGAAAACAAAAAAAAACGAAGTGAAATAAAATACTTTCATCCATTCATTGATACATAAATAACAGAAAACATGATTACACGCCTTTGGACGCGCTCTCGGCCAGTTCACATGCTAAAAAATGACACGTGTAATATTTCAGACAAAACACACTGTAATTAGTCAAACGACTCAATAAGAATTTGCATGCAACGCAATTGCAAATTTTACATAATTCAGACACTGTAAATGGGAAATGAATAAAGATCACAAACTTACTTCTAAACAAATAGTGCAAACTGTTGAATTATTTATGACGCTTGTTTCTTCCATTGTTTATACTTTAGTCGTAACTGAACTAAATGGATTCGCAATCACAAACAAAGCAAGCACAAAATAATGCAATAAAAAACTGACGTTCGCAAAAAAAAAACGTGAAGATATAATCTTAATATAAAAGATTTGTAGAAAGTAGAAACCAATCACATCGAAAAAATTTCCATTTATAATTGAAAAATATTCATTTTGTAGAATGGAATGTGTGAGGAATTACTACCAGCAACAAACTGCTTAAAAACATGAACGAAATGAATTAACAACAATATACCCTCTTGCGCAAATCTTTACGACCTTTTCCTTGAAAATTCAAAACACATATTTCAAGGTTAATATTAGATATTACTGGAATGAAGGAAGAAAGTTGAGATAAAAAACTGACATTACTTTACAAGTAAGAGCTGTTCAAATCTTGAAATATTATGATAACATGAAGAAAATTACCAAGTCTACTTTAAAATTGAATAATTAAAGATGTAGCTAATAGAAGACTTCATTCTTCATCCTGCTACTACTACGTACAATCTGACGATTCTTTTTATCCCTTTAGAAGTTAAAAATGATGTAATTAAAATGAATCAACGCAAACATTCTTTATTTTCAAGCAGTTTGTAAATTCCTTCAATAAGGCTTTATTTTTCAATTTTTAGATGTAATGAAGAGAGCGAACAACGCTGCACACAAGACTATTTGCAGTAATGCTCATCCAGATGGCAACCTGTAACCTAAGCCTTAATTTGAAATTTACTTCTAGTACCGTAAACACAACTACCATTATACACGATAGCAATGTTATCAGAGATAAAAAACACATGATGATACAGACTAATGAAAAAATTCACTATAAGATTTGATGGCGTATTGCAGCGCTTTAAAAATAGTTCAAATTATACACATACTGAAGTTTGGAATAATTAATGTTGAAGACATTGTGCTGATTAGTGTGTCATGTTAATTGTTGCATTACATAATATAAGCATTTAGGTGATAAAGTTTGAAGGTTCTACAGTACCCCTTTCTCATTTATAAGTTAACAGTTCCTAACTTCATCTCAGTTGATGGTCATGTGCAGCTGATGTGATCATATATGTCAATAGCAGTTATTGAGTAAAAATCAAATACTACTGATAGAAATATCAAGAAGTTATGTTTCCATAAAATCCTGAAATATTCGCTTCCCAATGATGCTAAATGTTTTCTCTGCTAAAATATAAACAAAATCTACTGAACTTTCTATGAGCTGGTTGGTTACTACTAATTTGTGCTTAAATTTATATTTAGTCTTTACGCATTATTTGATTTTACGATTGATAATGCTGCTACGTTAATTTGCACGCAGGAATCAGCTCTACAAATGGTAATTTTTTATGAAGGGACTAGAAATTTATGAGTACAAGATGGAAAAAAGTAGACTTCATGCCTGTGTATCTAATGACCTGGTTATGACATTCATTGCAACATGAATTACAAATTCCATCCAGTTTTGACTCGCATGAGATATGCAATAAAAGATATGATGACAAACCCACACAAATTATTCTAAGAGCTTTGTCTACTTTCAAGTCTCCCTTCTACTAAAACATCCCTTAAAACGTCACATTATACTTTCGCCATCTTCATCTTTACTGATCATTTCCAATTTTTGCAATAGTGACTATCAATTACAACCAACTAGTCACTCATATGCATTTTTTGGTAAGTCACTCCAATTCCAATGCTGTATTTTTTGAAAAGAACTAAGGTATTCTGTTTGGAACGAAAATTGATTCTAACTGCGTCAAATTTTCTCGCTCTTTATAAATTTTTTTAATAAGATGAGATTATGAATTTAAAAAATATCGTAAATGCTTGACATGTTACAAACTTCAAATGCATCATTCTTTTCAGAGTATTTTCACCAAGATCATAATAAAAATAATGAAGTCAAAAATCCTAGACATGTCTAGAAATTATTGCAAGTCAAAAATCCTAGACATGTCTAGAAATTATTGCTACAATAGCAGATATGCTATTGTATGAAACATTCAGTATGTAAATAACATTTTACATATATACATATAAAGAATCATTTTTACATATTTACAGTATGAGTAATTTTGTATAGCAGTACTGTGTAAATGAAGGGATCTGTGTTCAACGAATTGTCTCCTTGATAGACTTCTGATTTCACAGCAGTACTGCTATCCTTGTAACATAAAGCAAATTAAAATGTACAAACAAAAACAAATCTTTTTTCAGGACATAATTAAGTCGTAGCTTCATTTCATCTCGTATGCAAAAGATAATCAGTCGTTAACTACACTTTAGCTAAGAGATCTTACAGCTAGCACAGTACATGTCTTCTATTGAAAGGCTTCATTTTAAATCCATACTCCACTAGTTTTATGATTTTATTTGCAATTATATTTCAATCATTCAAAATTTAGAGAGCTACATGTATATATTGGAATTGGTTTGGGGTTCCTGAGTTGGCACAGCAATAAAGCCATTTCGGGTAGCTTGTGCCCTGAGATCCTGTTCAGTATCCTCAGAATCACGCCACTGCTTATACCTTTCCATCATCTCCTCGTCTTCTTTAAGTAGTTGGTTTAGTCGTAAATTTAACTGGAATTTTTTTTCTTGTGTTACACAACCATTCAAATGCAAAATTACATTCGACTTCCCATTCAGATTACCAAAATCAATCAGTTCAGAATTGTTCATGTAAAAACAACTGTGTTATAGAAGTAGTTTAAAAATAAAAAGGCTAAAGATTAATAAGTAAAAACATACGTAAAATAATCTAAACTCTACGATATTTCCACTATCAATGAATTAATCTCGATATATCTTTATCAAATACAAAATATTACCACTAATGAGCAATAAATTTTGAAGCAATTGAAATTTACCGGCGGAGAAACACGTGCTAAATGTGTTTTCATTAAAATCTTGCATTCAGAAAAGGTGGGCCGATTAGTAGGTTCGGAAAGCCAACATTGTCTCATCAAGTTGTAACTGCAAGTAGAGTATTTTTCAACAGTTTCACAATCAATACTCAATCTTTATGGGATGGGATATCTTCTCAAAAAGCTGCTATTTAACACAGACTATATACACATGTCAAAAAATGCTTGTGAGGATTGGAAGTTCGCAAATAAATTAAATGCTTTCTACAAAAAAAATTGTTTTACGAGAAATGAGCACGTCAGTCGTGAAAACTAACATATCATCAGGAGCAAGTTTGGGCTGTTCCATACGATTACCTTCTTGCAAATAACTTAGAAGATCATCATTATCCACTTGAGGATATGGAACTTTACCAAGAGAAAAAATTTCCCACAGTAATATACCATACGACCAAATGTCAGACTAAAATTAGAGTAAATCAAAAGCGCATAAAAAATGATTTAAAAGATCTAGTCAATATTACTAAACAAAATTAAAGTATTTTAGAATATTTCATACTTGTTCAGTAAAGTTGTGATATAGAATTGATTCTAATGCCATCCATTTAAAAGGTAATGGCACACTCTGACTGCTACGAATATGATAAATTGTTGAGTCTTTACGAGCTAAACCAAAATCAGCAATACGAATAACTCGATTTTTTGTGACCAGGATGTTTCGAGCAGCGATATCTCGATGGATGCACTTAAATAATCCACGTCAATTCAAAAAGAAAAAATGACAAATAAAATAATGATTACTTTAAAATTTGCGATTAAAAAAAGGGGACCGTTTTACTGGCTAGATATTCCATTCCATTAGCAACTTGATATCCAAATGATATCAAGTCACCTGTAGTAATCATTTTATCTATTTGTCGTTCTTCATCTACTTGTATAGCCCACTGAGGCTCTAACTCTGCCTATAAATTTTTGAAAAAATTAGCAGTAAACAAATATTAAAACATCATACCAGATAAGAAAAATAGTATAGTTACTAGTCATAATAATAATGAATTCGAATAAATATATTTTGTGTCACACTGATTGAAGTATTTATATTCTATGAACTTGACATGATTATTTTATAAGATGCAAAAAAAATACTCAATAATTATTATACATAAGTGATAATTGCATATAAGAAAACCTACCTTGTAAACTTGACTTTCATGTTGAGCATTTCGTGTTGGTGCTAAATATCCATCACTGCTCATCAATTCTTTACTTAATTCGATTTCATTCAGGAAACCTGCGCTATTTTTCGATAAATAATCTTTTAAATTGTCATTCTCACAATACTCCATGATGACATAAAGCTCTCCACTATAAATTCCTTTTGATTATGGCTTCGATCAGAACCGTTTAGCAAAAAATTTTTAGAAAACAAAACGTATCATTTTACACCATTCGTTTTCAAATAATAATATATTACCAAGACATTCGTTTCGTTACAGCACCGATTAAGCAGAGAACATTGGGATGATTACCAATTGCGATCATTATTTTAAGCTCATCAGCAAGTGCTTTTTGATGATTAACATTACGACCATCACGTGGAGCCTTTATCGCCACTTTGAGCACATCAGAAACGGCTAAAGAGTCACTTACACGAGATTTGTTGAGTTCACCGGAATAAACCTGTCCGAACTGTCCTCCACCGAGTAACTAAAACATGTCATCTCAACAGAGATTAGCATCAGTATAGGAGAAATAAATTAAAGTTGCGTAGGCATAGTTGAGTTCGATAAAATCTATATCTTATATGTCTAAAAGACAAGAGTTCGTTAGTTCTATTCTAAGTCTATTACAGCTGTGATTATTTCTCTTATGAAAAAAGCAGATGACAAAGTTTTAAAAAATTCCTAAACCTTCAAAACTGTGAAATATTTTGAAACTCGACACATGAAATATTCGTAATCGAGATGAAAAAATTTGCTCATATTTTACCCAAAAATATATATAAAAAATATTATTTAATTGTTTTGTTGAAACAACGTCTCAAAATAACGTATCCTAAATAAATTAGCAAAGAATTCTATAAAGTAGAAAAAAATTTGTAATAAATTAATAAAAAATAATAAAAACAAAAACCTGATTAAATCTAAGTTTATCTTTGCTAATTTCGTATCTACGATCATAAGGTAGCTGCTCAACACGTTCATGAAGTGGATGTTTGAGATCAATTGTTCTTGTACAATATTCTCTGTCCGCACCCCCCATCAACGAATTATAAAGTGCTCGCAGTTGTTCTTCTTGTCGTTTACTTTTGCGACGTTGTTTCAACAAAACAATTAAAGCCATTAGAAGTAAGACTAATGCAATAAAAGTTGCAAAGCCAAGAGTCCACCAGTGCTTTGATGAACGAATATAAGCTGGCTCATTCATCAACTGAAAAAAAATTTAATTACTTATTATAATCTGAAATTATTCTGAGAAATGACCAAAAAATGCGCTAAGAATAATTTTAAAATTTTTATAAACTTACTTTTAGTCGAATTGAAACTTGTTGAGAACCAGCCCGATTTTTTGCTACGCATGTATAAACTGCTTTATCTTCAATAATAACTCGAGGAAAGTCAATTTCTTTCATCAAACTTCCGTATCCATTATAAGCATTACCATTTTTAAACCAGCTGTAAAATGGTTCTGGTTGGCCTTTTATAGGACATATAATTTTGGTCCTTTCGCCATATTTTGCCAGGTGCTCATATTCTTCGCGAGCTTCAGTAATGTATGGGGCAATAACCTCACGTATCTATAATTTAAGAAAAAAGTAATTATTTTTTCAAATCAATTATTTCACTTCAAAGATGCTTACTTTCAAACAAATTAAATAATAAAGCAAATCTTGACTTAATCAAAAGAAGAATTTCTGAAATTATTTTTCTGCTGTCTACACCATTTTTCATTTATTTGCTATTACACACATAAAGCATTCAAACTTTTTAATCCCGCTAAAGAAAATTTGAATTAAAACTGCAAAATTATGGTACATTATGATAATATCAGATTTTTGTTTGAATGAAAAAAAGAAATATTAAATAGTGGTAACAACCATGTAATAGAAACTGCAAAGTTTGAACTGCAATTATTAAAATGGAAATTGTAAGTCAAAAAAAAAAACAAAAACAAGAATAAAATCGTAATGATTAAGACAAAAAATTGCAAAAATAAAGATTTTGATAGCCAGGAAATTCTTTACTATCTCACCTTAATATGAAGGGTGTAGTTGCGATAACTGCTTCCATCTTTTGATATTGCAATACACTGATAATCTCCAGATTGATTCCAAGTGACATCATCCAATGTTGCGATGAATTTTTGGGAGTACCTAGTGATATGACGCTCTGGATCTGGTAAGTGAACACCATCTTTCATCCATACAACATTACTAAAGTGAAATAAATATCTTTCATTTTTATCCAAATATCCCATAATAATGCTTTGTTATTCAGAAACTACCATAATAATGCTATTTTTTGATGCAGTCATATTATTTTCATTTAAAAAGTAATGAATGAAAGGTAAAAACGATATCAGCTAAGCAAATATTCTCATTAAATGCTAATCGAATATTATCCCTATGATAAATTATAATACTGACTACGTACGGTACAAAAGTCTACATTAAATGATGATAGATTTAAAAAAGAGAATACACTGAATATGCTTGAGAATGTAATTTTCTAAATACATACTAATAAATTTAAAAAAAAAAATTTCAGAACAGATTACTACAAAAGTTCTAGCTCTATGAAGGTTTTTCATCTAAGTTATAAAATCAAAAATAACCAACAATTCATCATTTAGCGGTAATATGCAAATGAGATCAATACGATCCTTCTCATATATTTCATCTCCTTCATTAAATGAAGAGAATGGCTTTGTAGCGATATAAGATGCATTAATAGTCTCTACTTCGGATACGATCAAATCCACACTATCCATCTAAATTAGTTTCACTGAAGAGTACTGTATATCAATGGTCAAGAAGCAACACGTGCAAAAAAATAAGACTTATTATTTTTCGCGGTTGAAGTGTATAAGCAGAAAGATTGCTGCATGACAAAGTAATGATACAACAAGTAACAGTATCGCTGTTTTGTAAACCAAATTGATTGAAAAGAATGTTTCTCTTTATTTTGTGTTCGAATATCCATCTGATACCTCATATAACAGTTTTGGATTTTGAACAATATGAGTTTTAATAAATTTTGCGAAAAACAAAGTTTACTTCACTGGTCTCTTCATCTTGACAACGTATTTGCATTTGTGTACCTGCATATGTTATCCATTTTACCGCTGACTCATAGGTGAAACCCAATAATTCTTCAACATCATCTGGTTGTTTCCATATTTCATCGTTTCTGAATGTCAAAATAGTCACATTCCAAGCATATACACATTTAAATTGCTGACTAGAATTAAGATTTGATCATTAAGATTATCCGAATATAACTTAATATTTAGATATATCTTGCAACTTACGTCACATATGATAACCGCAATTTTCTAGGTTTGGCATCATTTATGACGCAAATTACTGTTATTTTTGAATCCACCAGAACATGAGATGATAAAAGACGATTGTACTGATCACGAATAGTGATTAAGGGTTTGATATTAGCAGGATGAATTGATACTGTCCAATTTTTCTGGTAAACATAATCCTTTGACACTCGTATTATTAACTCATAGCTGAAAAATATTTCTTCATCATGCATTATTAAGACCAAAAGTCCATCTAGTCATCTTCAATAAAAATAATCACTAAATGCTTTTATCAATATTATTCCAAAATGATTTTGACTTGTTAAATTCAAATGTTTTCGAATTTTATGAAAAAATTTGATGACTCTAGTCATCAGATTTCAATTTTTCAGTATATTATGAGAGGAGTGCTTTTATAATTTAAAAAAAAATTACGAATTCGAAAAAATTATACATTGTAATAAATTTATCTGGTAAATGCAGCATTATTTTATGCTCAAAAGAAAAACTGACATCGCTGAATCGACAACAGATGCATTTGGAATGATCAACTCATCTTCATGAAGATCATCATTGACCTCACTGTTGATGCCATCTTCGATTTTCTCCACAACTTCTCTTTTAGTCGACAACGTCTTTGAATACTAGAATTTAATACATAATCATTTCTGGATAAAAATAAAAATAAAAAAAATAACAGAAATAAATAGTTCTGTCGAATGTTGAAAAAGCTTTTCATGCTGGCATAAAATTGATGATACTTCTGATTAACCTAAATTACATTTTTAAACACTTTCTGATTTAAGAGTTCAGCGATTGTACTTTTCATCTGTGCAAAGTAAACTAAATGATTGCTTTATTAATTTCTGTAAAGATTAAAATCTGAGAAACATGTTTTCTACTTCAGGCATACAGAAAAAAAGGTGACAAAAAATTTTACAATAGCCTACTAATTTTAAAATTCAAACTATAAAGTAAATGATTGATATAAAGAATGCTAGAAAAAATACAATGTATGTGTATAGATAAATGGAACCAAAATAAATGATTACTCAATTTACAATGAATGTAATCCTGTAAAGCTGTACTAAAATCGTTTAAACAAGACTTGACAATTTAAAATTCAGCAGTAACCTTTCTCCATTCAGATGCATATTCACTGCTCGGAAAAGTTTCTGCCACATGAAACAATCTTACAGTTTGCCCTTCATAAGAGTCAACATTATCCGAAAAATCAACCACTTTCAACTGTCCTACAGTGGGCGAAACTTGCAACTGTTTTATATTACGTCGAACATCATAAATATTATCTTTATTTGTTACGATACATTCATAATCACCGGAATCCGTTACAACCAAATCTTCGATTGATAACAATTTTTGAATGCCATCCCTAATCTTTATATAGCGATTTGAGATGATACGATCCTGAAAATACGTTTTTTTTCGCATTACTTAAAATGAGAATAAAGCATACAATTATCAGGTACAGACTACAAATAAACTTAAAAAAATTTTATTGCTAAGATTTATAATTCGTGGAGACATCCATATTATGCCTATCGTCAATAATAATTAATCGCCAGTTTGCAATCATCTAAACTCAAGAACTATTTACCGCTTCGCTTTCACATTTTGGACATTTCCAGGTAAGAGCATATCTGAAGCCATCATTTGTGTGAAATGTACATGTCATTTCCAAATCTTGTCCAGCATATGGCCATTCGTTCGATACCTCAATTATAGGCAACCCTTCCAACTTTGCATCACTTTTGGTCGGTACTATTATCATCTCAGATGTTTGTCCGAAATATTCGCAACGAGCTGGCATTTCAATACGATCATTTAAGAGTTCTCGATCAACAATGAATCCAATTCTAAATAAATTTTTTCTAGTGAAGTTCTGAATGGTAAAAAAATTCATAAAAATTGAAGTATTGCATTATACAGACAGTTTCTTAAGTAATATCATAATTAAAGTTTTATAACACAAGAACCTTGGATCAAATTGAATTCCCTCGGTCTGCTTTTGATGATTTATGAACAAATCTACGCCATTTTCAATAAATTGGCTTGTCTTACATGGCAAAATCACATGACGCCCTCGAAGAGTTTTGGTAATAATTATTGGTCCAGGATTTAGAAATATTTCCGCTTTACTTGGTTTCTCACCTGAATGACGACGCTTTATAGTCATAATCAGTACTGATTTAAAACATCATAGCTGCAAACATATTCCACCTTCGGAATTATAAGCAGTTAAAAATATACATCTAGCTCATATTCTGTTTGCTTATTTTTCAATTTTAAATTCAATAACATAAAAATTATTAAAGAATTTAGACTCAAACATTATTCTTCATTGATTACTGCAAATCCTTTAAAAAGGAAAAAATAATTCAAGAAAACTAACTTTTCTTGCTAGATACATAGAGGTAAATGGAGGAATTGAGTCCAGAATGTTCTGTAGAGCACACATATTCGCCTGTATCTGATCTTTTCAAAGAATATATTCGTAAACTTTGAAATCCAGCATCAAATCCAGTTTCAATTTTAACTCGACTTCTGAGCTACAAAGAAGCAATTTCAATTTAGAACATAATTTTTACAAATTAAACCTGTCATTTAAGCCCTTTTACTTTACTCGTCTTACCGTTTTTTCAAAAAAAATTGTACTGAGCTATATAATTCCGAATTTACCTAGGCTTTTTGAAGCCTTAAATTTAAAATTTATTTTTGTAGAGAAAGAAATCAAGCATTTTTTCACTCAACGTTTTTCTGTCATAAAAAATTGATAACATCTACTTTTTATTGATCACATCAAAATAAAGATTCATCTCGGTAAAATGCAAAAACTTAAATTGACACAAATTATAATGAAAAATTTACATTTTCCACCAATTTATATTTCAGTCGATGTAATTACAAGAAATTTTCTTCTTGTAATGTTTCAGCTATTAAGAATTAATTAATTAAGAAACCATCCCATCGTACAACCACTATCTGCTTTTATTATCAAGCGTTCAATCTGACCATAAATAACCTTATTAAAAATTAAATGAAAGTCTTATCACACAAATGATGCACGTCACAGCATACCCTCAAGTCTATCGTATCACAGATATCAATTGAAATGAAACGCGCAGAAATAATATAGGATAGATATGAGTCTAGAAAATCTGCTAAATGGTAGCAACAAACAAATTTTCTGACAAAAATATAAATGTACAATTTTAGTGAAGTTTTAATTTTTTTAAACGAAGCGAGCAACAACCTAACAAATATTTCAGTGCTCATCCTACCTAAATCTTGCCTTTTTTTTCCCTTTCTATCACCATTAATGAAAAGTTATTATAAATTTGGTTTAGATCATTTTTTATGTTTGCAATCACAGTACAAGCAGATAATATAACCCCGTTACATAAAACCAACTTTTTTAGTTGATTATGATAATATATAATATTTTTATGCTAATTATTTTGAGAAATTTTCGCTTTTTTATCATGGAAGAAAAATCTAAACAAATATGGAAGAGCTTATCAGCAAGTATTTTCAATCTATAATACATCTTCTCAAAATGATAAAAACTATCAGTAAAAATTTTGAAACCAAAGTTTTTTCATACAAATAATAAGGGAAAATACTTGAATAATGAAATAAGTATGGTTTTCTTCTTATTCAGTAAGTTAACAGGGAAAGATGGATACCTCTGAAGGATAGAAGCCTTCATTGAAAGTATTATTTGGTAAGATCCATTTGACTGTTTCCATTGCTGAGCAATTCAGTTGCAGTATTTCTCCAATCTTTTTTTCAATATATTGCTGACCTTTGTATTCTGGGAAGTTAACATTTCCCGAAATTTCAGGTGGATAAAGCGATGTAACCGTAGTAATACAATAACAGAAAATGAGTAGCAAAAAAAGCATAAAGTTTGATGAGAAAGTTGAAAAAAGCTTGTTAGACCGGAAATGATTCTTTGTAACTTGACTACAAAAAATGCGTCTAACATAATAGTCTTCAGAATGCAAAAAATTCGAATTAATGTCAAGTAATGCAAATTTCAACGTATGACGCCGAAACACCATAGCTTTCTCTCTTCTGTAATAATAAAACATCAATCCTTTTTCATATTTTGCAACAAAGAATTGTTGAACGATAACTGCAGATTTGTAAACAAAGCTAAAAAAAGTATGAGTGAACGAACTTTTGCAAAGACGTAAAGTATACAGTTTAATATAAAGTGAAAATGACTCAGCGTATCGCTTGTTCCTTTCTTCTTTTCAATATAATTTTGCTATCTACTGGCATTACCTCTGTGTATGTAAATATAATTCGAACAAACAGGTAGACATGCAATGCATATGTGTGTGTGCGTGTGTGTGCGTCCATTGTATGTATGTGTGTGCTAAAGTAGTATAAGTTAATTAGTATATACGAATACAAAATACGGAAACATGTAAGTCTGCTCAAAAATTTAGAGTTAGTCTGAAAAAAATAGTCTGTTTAGATATGTGTTATTAAAATTTTTTTAAACAGTATATGTATAATTCAGTAAATAACAAAATTTTCACCACTTCGTCTGTTGCTCATTTTCTCTCATTATGACTGTCACGATAATTGTCAACGATGGCCATTGTCAACTAATGGTAATCGCAAGTGGGAGAACAGGTCAGCAGATAGTAGTTACCATGTTAAACTTTGTCTAAAATACTGCAGTACGTGCATTACAATTTGCAAGCAAACTATCAAACCAATGCATGAGAAGAAAATTTTACTGAAATGAACGAAAGAGAAAGAATGATTATTGCTGACAGACAGCGTACGAAAAAGTGATTGATAATTTCAAACTTTTGCAAGCAAAGTTTGTACCACTGAGAATTGCTTCTTAAATGCAATGACTTTACTATTATTACCTGCTTGCGTGCGTCATTTATAAATTTAACAGAGTGGTTGGTAGTCAGATAGCTTAAAAATATTAAAATGCGTGAGAAACGAATACAAATAATACACGATATGTGCCAATTATTAAAATGAGTTTAATGCAAAGTAGAAAAAAAAATTTAATTTTTATACCAATTTGTTTTTTATCTTTATTATCATCATGAAGTAATATTAAAAAGAACTGAATAAATTTACCTAGTCTTTTTATAGTTCAATAAAATATTGCTTCATAAGACTTCGCAATCATTATATTTTTTAATTATCAAAAATAACACGTTCATGTATGTAGAAGCATGCAGTGCAAGAGAATGCATTCAATCTACAGCTCATAACTGCTATCAGTAACATATATGTATATTCATTTCGTTTACTCTCCATCACATTGAAAAAAGAAAAAGAAAGCGCTGATAAGATAAATAAATGATTAGTTGTCAGTATCATATCAACAATTAGTTGCTTAATCATTTAAAGCGACTTTTTTTTGCCAAATGTGTATAAAGAGAATAAGTGATATTATTTTATTTGTTACTATGTATCAGTCAAAAGTTATTTCATATACTTACTTTTTTTACCAGCTGTGAAAATTAAAACAGTCTTAGTGATTGTGTATTCTAACTCAATTGAATAGGTAACTCGGATTATGAAACCTTATGACTACCTGAAAAAGTTTTTGAAAATTTTCAGAAGAATATTTTTTAGCATTCAGCGCAAATGAAATCATTTTGAAAGGGATTTATGCAAAATTGAATGTTTTTCTTTTAGCTTTGCTGCTTTTTAAATCAAAATAATTTTAGAAATAGGAGAAATTCTGACATTTTATTCAAAGAGAATTAAAAAGTAAAACTTTTTTAAAAACTTGACACAAAATCATGATAAATGACTTAAAAAATATGCACTGAATGATTACAGAAATAAAATTAAAATGAAAGGGTAAGAAAATAGCTTATTAGAGAGGCAATGAAGCGCAGATGGTACTAAAAAGCACATAAGGTATTACCCTATTTAGGTGAATATGAAAAACAAGAACGAATCTAACCGTCCATCTGCTGGTCATTTTTCAATCTCTTTTCCTATGTTTGTATTAATTCAAATGAGGGAATCAATAATGAGTGAATGAATGGTTGGATGCCCTGAGGGGTCATTTGCTTCATTGTCTACTGACTACTTGTACTACTGTATTGTATTTCCCTCACTTATGTTAGTGTTTGTAACATTTGTGCTGCTCTCATATTTTGTTTACTTTTATATGACCCCACGAACTGAGCTTTTTCTCCAAAGTATTTTCAGCTAGTCTTTGGTTCTTTTATTTCATTCTCTTTCAACAAAAATTTGCTCATCTCTACTATATTTCTCTTATTTGTCGGATACATTTTCCTCAAAAATCAACCTCAATCAAGGTTTTGATTAATTTCATTCCATACATGCTGTATATTACTTCTTTACTTAGATCAATGACTAGAGCTCTAAAGTCTATCGCATTGTTTTCTACGAATCAGCAAAAACAATAATTTTCATCTTCACATAAACTTCTGCTAAATATAATTATGAAAATTGAGTCTGTATTCAATGTAGAATACTTTTTCAAAAAATATCTGAATATGATAATTAAAAAAATTTCTAAAAAGAGACTGAAAATTTTTTTATCTATTTTGGTTCATGAAAAAAAAAAAGACATGCAGAATCCAAAAACACTGACTGTATAATTAGATGTGTATTTACTCGTTGTAAAGAATAAAAGTGTGAAAGCAGTTTGATAATGTCAGTAAAATTTGATGAGAAATTGGAGCACTTAGCAAGAAACAAGCGATAAAGTATAGAAAACCGGATGTAGTCATCACTAAACTTTATTTCTCATGCTCAAGAAATCACATACAATTTTAAAACTCATACATTTAAAGGTGTCATTTGCAAAGCCTTCGAAAACAATTATTATAAAAGCATCGTTTATTATTAATTGTAACTTTTTTACGACATGCAAAAAATATGACTTGAATTTTTTTTGCAAAGTTTAATATTCACAATTTTATTGAAAATGGCGATGAATAGAATTGTTTGAATAGCGTCCTAATAAAGTATCTGAATGGATTTCGGTGGAAAAAAAAATGGTTTATAAGCATTTATCACAAAAAAAGAAATGGAGACAACAAAGTTTGCTTTTTATGTGATTGAGAGATAGCTGTAATGCTCGTAGTTTGCAAGCAGACACTTTTTCTTCTCAATTTCTTATATATAATCAATTTGCTGGCCAAAATGTTGTTGTTGAATTGAAAAGAAGAAAGTAGACTGATGATAAACTGTCTGTACAATGATAACGATAATGCTCCTTGTCTAGTGATTGATAAACTTAATGTGATAGTCAAGTGATTAATAAACTCGCGAAATGCCCTCAAAGATTTTAGTACGGAACGTAACGATTATTATTTCATTCTTTGAAACTAATTTGCTGTATTTTATTCTTTTCGAAACCAAATATTATTTGATATTTTTTTGGTTGCTTAAACAAATCTGTTACATATTTAAACGATAAGTAATGAGATTACAATGAGTATAATTAAAGTGGATAAAAACTGATTATTAAACGTTATGTAATCTACAATGTCTTCTTATGCTTGCATTGCATGTAAATTTGTGTAAAATAAAATTCATACTTAAAAACATAACAAATTTTTAGCAAATATAAACCATTTTTGGTTTTTCAAAAGTATTAACATAATCCCAAGAGTAAAAAGTTACTGTAAACGATTGTTTTTTTAATAATCAATTCATGTCAGCAACTAAACTTTGTTCTAACATCTAGGTGTCTAATTTTGCCTAGACTGCTTAGAGTTTTGTAAACAGGTTAAGAATTCTATGTATGACTTTTATTGCGATTAAAATACTTTATAAGTTGATTTTTCAATCTTGCTATTAGAAAATTTTTTAATTAATTACTTTTTAGCTGTGTATTATGTTAGAAAAATTTTTTGCATAATACTACAACTTGTTAAAAATTTTTATTCCTATTGCATTAATCAAAAAACAAATACTTTTCGAAATCAATTGAGAATTTTAAAACAATTATTCTTTTTTTTTGTTATTTCAAGAAAATTGTAGAAAAAATAATTAGCGATTTGCTTTAAACTTATTGAAAACATTTATGTCAATAGAGTACAGTTTATTAACTGATTCAAATAAATTTTTTTCCTTGCATTACAGCTTTTTGCGCTTACTTCAATTTACTGTTTTGATCAATTATTAAAATAAAGACTACTTAAGCACAAGTCTTTAAATTGTATGAATTTTGATGGCAATATTCGCCCATTTCATTACTAATCTTTTTTGATAGTATGTGTGCTGTGCTTTTAACATATTTTTTTACAGAATAAAATTCGATGGAAGAAGCAGAAAAAAAAAGAGTGAAAGCAACCAGCAATGGATTCCTGGAACAACAGTTTGCCACAATAACATGAATAGCCCTCAAAATGATTGCCTCAGAAAGCTACTTCATTTGAATGCAAAGGTAAACATAGCATTTGACATTACCAACAAATGCTTGAACTTTGTTCATATTTTGCTTCAAATAACTTTTGTCAAAAATCATACTGAGTAGTAATTTTGTTCTGTAATGGTAATTGATATGTACTTAACATTTCAAATACTTATGTTATTGCCATTGCTTAAATAGAATAATCCCAAACTTTTCATGTTAGTCTTTTTTTTTTTGTTCTAAAAATTGCGTATTTTAAGTATCATTTTTTTACATCAGCAAATATGATGATTTCTATAATTGCATTATATGCAAAAGCTTCTCAGTAAAAATATATTAATCTTCAAGTTGAAGATTTGTGAAAAACTTAGTTGTAGTCGCTAGAAATATTTTTATTGATGAATGTTGCTTGAATTCAGTGACAAGTAAAAATTTGAACAGCTCATTCATTAAGCAAATATTACATAAGAAAGAAAATTTGTGAATTTTTGAAATTTTTAAGCATATCTAATCCCCACACTACCGTATTTTCTTTTTGTTTGCAGTGTATATTTGATAACTTCACATTACTGACCAAATGAGAAGTATCTTTCAAAATTCCGTGTATTAGAAAAAATTCTAATACACGGAATTTTTTTTACAGATCGATGCAATAGCCTAAATGGTTCAGTTATAAAGACTTCAGTAAAACGTCATCAGGGAACGAAAACAGAAAGCTGAGATGAAATGAAGAGAGCTAACTCAGGTAATCATTCAACGCATTCATATCATCAGCATGAAAGCCAAATTTGTCTTCTTAACGATCTTCAGAAAATTTTTCAAATAAAGCAACTTTACTCCTGTTATGATTTGAAGAAGTAAGTATGAGTAAATTAAAGTGTAATCAAAAAAGTTGTTCTTTTTTCGTACAAAAAAATAATTCTTTCGTCCAAAGCGACTCAAATTCTTCACACTTTTTCTGTACTCTGAACTCACAGAATATGAATAGTTTCAGGTATTATTACTAAATGCTTTCCTTTAATCAGAATTAATTGCATGAAATGTGGAAGTTAATTTTTATGACTATTGCATTAAATTTAAAAAAAATGAACGGATTAATTCCAAAAACAATATAACACTGGTAGTAATAATAATGTATACTAATGATTAAAACATGTGATACAAATAATTTACTCTAATTTCAATCAGTCTTCAATTATTTTAAATTGCTCTTATTAAATATTGCCCGGGAAATATATTTATCCATCTTAATCCGTGCCGCATTTTACCAATAATTATTTAATGTTATAGATATTGCTTAATGTGTGTAGCAAAATGACACCACACAGGTTATGAATACTTATGCTATGAAATAGATTACATTTCCAAGGATTAGATTAATTAATTGTTAAATGTTAATAGACTGAATGATAAGAGTTAGTAATTCAGTAATAATTGTGATAAGAGTGAGTCAGCTGTTTATCTTTTTTTTTCGATGCATTGAATAGAAATACGTATTGAATTAATATTGTAATTTATGTGTTTGTTTTGCATGAAATGGAAAACAAATCTCACTACTTAATCATATACAAATGATATTTTCTTCTATTTCGCTTTTTTCTAGACTATTGATGTACGTGTTTATTTCTCTTTCATTTGTTTTTAAATTTTAGTACGTCGGTCGTAAAATATCAATATGATTGATACAGTTTTGTTTTTATAAGTCCGATTTTGTTTTGCAGTACAAGATTGTTCAGGTCATTTAGGATGCTTAATTTGTCCTCTAGACAATGTAATCAAAGAAACATGTCCATCAGTTAATAGCTATATGTTCTTCAATTTCTGGCTTATCGCTTTTTCTGTGTATTTTTGTTAGATTCTGAACATCAAGAATTTATTTGGTAGGATTACTAGTGTTAGGAAATATTGTCTTTCTAAATGTTTACTATCTCTTACTAATAGATTACGAATTCTTATATGAAAATAATTACAATTATTTGTTGTGTCAGATCAGGCTTCACATTAGTAATCCATTTAAAAGCTAATTTTTTGATAGATATTTGGCAATTAATATAATTTTTATGAGATTATCATAATTCTTCAATATATTACATTACTCAAGTTGCTGTTACATATTCCTTTTCCTCGTAAAAGTATGCTAAAAACATTATTCAAGTTTCCTATACTTCTTTGTTCATCAAGATATGATAATAGATCCAAATTTATTTGCAGAAAATGTGGCTGCCGCGTCTCATGCGTGCAGCAAATGAAGAACAAGAGCATCGAGCTGCTATTGGATGTAAGTATTCATGATAATTAGCGTTTATTAGCTTCATTAACGTTTTCTAGTTTCCTTTTTTTATTCAACAGATTTAAAACCCGTTCATTTAATTACTTTCTACGCTAAGTCAAAGGAAAAAAAAACTACCAATTCTTAAGTCCTCCTAATTTTATAAGCTAAAAATCAATGCATCATGTAGTTTTCTGTTTTATGATAAGAATTAATATTTTCATTTCTGTGTTTCAGTATCAGGTCAAGCTGCACAGAATTTATTTGGTACACTGGTCACTTGTGACTGTGGACATTTATCGTCATGTAGACGAACAACACCTTTAGTTTGCGCTCGAACTGATGTTCAGTTACTCAAACACCGATTCACTCTTGTCAAATGGTGTTGTATTGCATTTCTTCTGCTTATCTTCACTCTCATAGGTAATTTGTATATCGCAAGTCCGTCTGATTAATTTATATTGATATTATTTATCTCAGAACATATATATGAATTTCACTTCTAACTGATATTTTGAATGGAAGAACAGAAATTTTGAGTATGAAACGCCATTTTGTTTACATCTGAAAATTTGCTGTTTCAAAACGTTATTATGAAAAAGTTGCAATATATTAGAAGCTTTGTATTGAGAGTTACAAATGTGAAAAACTATTGTTTGTTAGGTGTACTTGACCGGAATTTTGCATTAATTGCAGTTTTTTCTGGGTTGTTGACAACGGCATCAACTGAATTGACGTCAGGCAGCTCGTATCTGTTTTTGGCAATCATTGTCACTAGTTTATTATTGTTTGGTGGATTATGTTGCTTGCGTGCTCATACAATCTGCAGGTTTCGCGATGTTTATCACAGTTCACTGCATTGTCGTCGTAGTCCTATTCAGCCATCGTCTCTGCGACTTCCTGTTTCATTATTTACACATGCCATTCATTCACGATCGCATGTCAATTCGTCACCGAGCGCTTTCCGATTCCCTGACTCATCTTTGTAAGTTAACAGAGTTGTGTTTTTTTTCGCACGTAGAAATAAGATCGCATGGAGTGATATTTTGTTAAGACAGCTTTAAGTAGCAAAGCATTTGATTTGGCAAAAGTTTTGTCTACCGAAATGAAAATGGAAAAAAAAGAAAACGAACTAATACGGATAAAATTCACGGATATGTGAAAGTTATTGTTGCCTTGGTAGAATTTTCAAATTTTTAATTAGCGATATTTATGGCTAAACCAATTCAATCTATGTTAATTCAAACATCTTATAGCTTGAAAATGTGATTTGCCTGTGTTCCAATTATCTCGTGTTTTTAGCTATAATGCCCTTTTGGAAGCATGTACAGCACCACTGCCCACATATAATGAAGCAGTCAAAGAACCTGTGTTTGCACCACCAGCCTACTCAACAGTTATCACACAGCCTTCAAGATCACAGGTCATTTCACTGAATGAGAGTAGTCCTCATCACGTTCCTAGTTGCACCCCGTCTTTGACTGGAAATGAAACGGTAATTGAAAGTAGCATCAGCAGTAACAATCGTGATCCTGAACAGGAAATGTTAGTACATTCGCATTCACATGCAGTCGAAACAGTCACATCTGTAGAAGTTCATCACATAGACGAGGTAGAGGATGAAATTATGTCAAATACTGATGAAATTCCCGTGAATTAATTCCAGAGTATGTTTCTCTCCTTTTATTGCCATTTAAAGCTCACTTTACTTTCTTTCTTCAATTACGCAGTGTTAAAAGAACCGAAAAAATGAGATAGTTTATCATAAATAATTTCTTCTTACCAGGCTTTTCCAGCATGTTCTTTTTGCAAATCATTGCACTGATTTTTTCTAGGCCATGTGGAATTCGGTGCTGTGAAGTGATAAATTTTCTTTTATTACATTATTAAATGGAAAGAATAATAAAAGGTAGTGTACTTTTACGTGCTTCTTGGCAGGTGTCCAAAAAATTATCAATTTAACGTTATCAGCTGAGACCTTTAGCTTTCTTGCATTGTTCACTTAGATAATTTGTCCCCGATGGTCATTTCGCCCTAAAACAATGCTTATAGAGTATAACTTTTTTTATGAAAAATGTTTAAATTTGTTGATATAGTTCACTAAAAATTCATTAAAAACCTCTGTATGTTCGTAATTTACTTATTTTTAAAGCGTTGTCATCAAGTGTTTTGCAATTTTTTTGCAGTTTCTAAGAATCCATGGGGTTTCATTAATCATTTTTGCATTTTATGGTCACACATTGACGATTGAGCCTTAGGTTCTCTTAATTTTTATTCATTTTTCTTGTTCCCATCTTTTGTTTTTCACAGTTGAAAATCTGTAAATCCTTGTGGCGGATTTCACAATTGTCAGAGTATGAGTATGAGTATCTTTGGTTCTGTCAAGTTTGTTGGTGGGTTGATTTCATACAGCTAAAGACATGAAATTAACAACATTGTATATAATATGCTGCGCGCAAATTTTTCTTCATACATTTTTAGTGATTTGTTAAATGAAGGACAGAGCCGATAATGGTATGCTGAGGTTCCGAGTCCTTATTTTTTATGTAGGCAAATTCTGTTTTAAATATTCGTGGAACATCATGAACTTAGTCGGGATAACTTCTTTGCATAGCACTTTCATCTTAACCACCTTTGTGAAGTAATCTTTCGTTTACCATTGTAATATTTTTCATTTTAACTCAGGCTTGCCTTTCATAATTTTACTTCCAATGTTTGATGGGTCATTTATAAAATATTTTTTTCGAATATAATGTAACTTTTTTCTATACTTTAGGTTGTATTAACAGTGTAAGCATTTCAAGAGCTCTGTGCAAATAGCTGGCTCTATTATTGTGAGTAATTCTAAAGTAGAATACAGTTGACTCAGGTTCATTTCTGCTTACATTAAGCACTGTAATTTTTTAAAATATTTATTTGTTAAAACTGTACCCATACATTTTGATGTTTGTGAACTCATTTGACGTTCAACAAAATTTCTGGTGAATCGGTTTTTTTCTACTGCGTATTTGATTTCCTTTCATGTATCATTTTTTTCGTAGAATTCTTATGTTGGTCATGACCTTGTGATAAGTTCACAAATAAAGTAGCTCTAACATAATTATTGTTTCATTGTTGATTTCATGTGCGAAGGCAAAGTAGTTCTTTCTCCTGTCAGATATGAGAATCATTATTCAGCTAAGAAATTCGGTAGTTTCATAAATCTTCTTGTTTTTTTTGATTTTCATAGAATAATGACTTATACTGCTTTTTTGTGCATGAAAAATTGCGGACTTATTTTTGATTTGAGCCCATATAAGTGATCCCAGTTATGATCAAAATACGAATTGTTCAGACAGAGTGCAGTTCCATTAATTACTGAAGAATTGTGTACTGTTTTCATCAAATAACTTTTTTTTGCACGAGTTATGCTCACTATTTTTCTGGCTACTTCACATTTTGAATCGTCTTCAGTACCAATAAATGTTGTGTCATATCTTTTGAAAACTTTTTTTCCAGTATTAAGTCGTGTAATTTTAATCTGGATGTTCTGTATGGATTCTGTTAAGTAGTTACAATTTACTATTACATCAATGATCACTACCAAACATTTTGCTCATAAAAAAGTAATTCTTCCGATTCATATTTGGAATGCACTGGAGAAATAAACTGGACATGTCTATACATTGATGTGGGAAGTTTCATGAAGCTCACTTAAAATTAAGCAAGTATTTTTGTGCTAAAAGTCTACTGTTGTTCACTCAATTCACTTAAAATACACATTCAACACTTCAATACTTAGTAAATATTCCTATATATAGTAATGCAAAGATGATCGTATAATCACTTATTACCATCAGTACAGCTTTATCTGTATCGTCTAGACAAGAAAAGTGATGTTTAAAAAATCTACTGTTCCAGAACTATGCTAACTACAAAGTTGATTTTTTTAGTGTGTTTGTTATAAGTTATGATATATAGGTAGGGTAAGTTATAACTGATAACTAACTCTATATCCAATTTTTTTTGGCTAGACTAGTTTACATATTGTTCTAAAACGTATTATTCCCTGAGACGGAAGAACTGAGTCGTTTTATAACAGACTTCAATTTTTTTGCATAACCTTGGCTGTAACGCAGTTTTTAGACGGTATTTCTGGCGCTAAGTTTGTATTTGTAGTGAGTTATTGAGAAAGTGTTTATAGTTATGATTCCGCTTTCTCGTAAATATGAGCATTTTTAAAAACATCGCGGACCCATGATGGTACTCGGTTTGATAAGACATTTCTCCAATTACTTTGCTTTTGCAAAGGAAAGTAAGAAAGGGAGAAAGTTCCAGCTGAAGAGGATTTAAAAAATAACCACATATTTTTGAGTAATAAAGACCTATAAAATCTATCTGAAAGGTCTAGAGCATGATATTAGTAAACAATATACGTCAAAACACATTGTAAGTTGAAGTTATTACGTTTGATGGCAGTTATTAATCGAACGAATCAAGCAGTACATATGCAATAATCATTACTGTTATGGGTATGAAACATCAATATTTCTTTAATCCCAATCAACATTTTCTGCTTTTGTCATCCTCTTGAACTACTGATCTCATTAATTAATGTTTTATTGTCCACTTTTGCTTAAATAGGAATAGAATTTGAGAATACAACAATAATACATTAATTGTAAAATATTTTATTGTAGAAATGTATTTCCAAAACACTTCTTTTTGTATACAGTAGTTGCACGTTAATTACAAAGCGAGGAAGTGAACAAATCCCTAGTAGTTTTTATCAAGAATTATAACTCTTTTACAAAAAAGCAAGCAGTCATGGGAAAGTCAGAATCTTTCAATAACCCAAATTTGCTTCATCATAGAGAAACAATCTTTTCTTGTCTTCTAAAATTGATTTCGCTAGAATAATTTCATTTTCTACTCACTGCGTAACAATAAGTTTCTTTAATCTCTGCATTGCAGCAAATTGCTGCTCACCTCTTAATTTTCTTGCCTATTTTGGCAATTCATTTTATGTTATTGATATGATCGAAACTTGATTAAATTGACTTAGTAATTTGGAAACTAATCTCTCACTGACACATTCGGCTCTAATATCTTGAGTTTTCTAGCATTATTTTCCGAATAAGATTGTCTTAATGTTGATTAGCTGTATTCCTTAAAGACTGAAGCTTACGCAAAAGATATTCATAACGAGTTAAAAGCATATCAGTTATTAGTTAAGCATGTGAGCATCTCCAAAAAGTGCACACACGTGAGGAATGAATAAATTTGTGCACTTAATCCAAGCAATTCTGCTTTTCTGTGTCTGTAGAAATAGTCCTGATTTTGAATTATGCAAGCAAGTTCATTTCTTTAGTAAGTTAATATTATAATTGAAGTACTAATTATTGTTATGTAAAGAGCACTTAAGAATGACTTTTCTATAGCTCTCAAACAAAAACTTGAAATTGCTGCTGTCTTATGTTGGTTACCAGTTTTTACAAGAGAAATCTGCACACATCTGTAGAATGTGCGTTTTTTACTGTGGAGAAATTGCCCAATTTACAATGTTTATTTTTTGTAAATTTAGCGAAAGTAATTGTTAATAACAGAAGTTGTTGTCGTGTACAGTTTATTCTATAATACATTTTTCAAAAAATGATAATTACAATTATGAATTATGATTCACGTATCACTTTTTTCGTGAACGAAAAGGGTGCTTAGCAATTCGAATAATTTTCTCGAACAAATACTTCTTTCGAGACCTGTTATTTTGCTCCAAACGTTCTCCCGTTATATCTTGCTCCTGCTTCTGAGAATAAAATTTATATGTATAAGGTAAGAGCAAAGCAGAAGAAACTTCACACAGTTCTAAATATTTAATTTTTTAATAATTGAACATATTTATAAGCAGCCATTTCACACACAAATTTGTTATTCAATGCATCTTGAAAATTATAAAATCACATACTATCGCAATTGAAAATATAATGCTTAAGCATCTTAGACAATGTTTTAATTCATGTTTCTAATTCATTCAAGTGAAAACTGCATATTTGCCTTTACAAAAAATTAGTTTAACCACTAACAATCTCTTTGTTAAATTTAATTTATCTAAAAATGTCAAGCATTTTAAGATGAAATTGAGATACCTCAACAAAATCAATTTGGTCACCATGTAGCAAAGTATCTCTACGTTGATTTGGCACTGAATTGCCACTCATCAGTTGGTGACGATAATAATTTTCAATAGATGTCATTTTAATATTTATCTATTCTGCAAATAATGCCAAAGTTTTGGAAAATTGAGGATATGAGCCACCTATAGCCGATACAGATGGTAAAAAGTAATGATACACGAACATGATGGATCTTAAGGATTAATCTTCATCTTTCTTTTCTAACTGTCACTTAGTACTGAAGTATTTTTTGATAAATTCTTTGATTATGACTGCTACACTCTACTCACTGACCAGTTATAGTGCGAATTATATAATTGCTATTCGCATTACTATTATGATATTATTATTGTTATTATTATCGCTATTGTTTTATGTTAATTACTACTATTTATTAATTGTTTTTAACCATTTATTTTGAATTAATGCTTTTGTTTTTATGGGCTATTTTTAATATGTCATTTACAACTTACTGAAGAACTAAACATTGACTATTTGGTGAAAGATATTAACTTCAATCAAACGTTTGAATGGAAATTCTTTTGTTGCCGAAAACAGTACTTAAAACTAACCCATGAAGTTATCCCGAGCGAAAAGATTTCTATTTAAAAGAAGTAACAAATGAATGCGTGGAATAGAATTTTCAGTAAATCTTTTATCGGTACTATTATGTATTATTAACGTAAGCATGAGACATATTTTACTATAATGTACACTTCCAGTAAATGTTATTTGTCAGAAACTAACTGAAAAGTAAACGAAATGATGGACAAGAATCAAAAGTTAACAAAATATAAGTGTACCAGTAAATAAGTTATTTCAATTAGTAAGACTTGAATTACTTTTCTAGCCATTGTGATAATAAATTTAATTTAGACACTTGAACAATTTGTATCGTAATATGGTAAAGGTTTAAGCACAAATTTCTAAATTTAGACAAGTTCTGCTAAATATATTTATAAATTATCTTGTTAATCATAGTAAATACTTCTTTGTGATTTTTAAAATTGTGCTTGATTTAATCTATTCGCTCATTTTATACCACAAAAAATTTCACACACAAACTGATAAGGGGAATAAATTCTTGAAGAAAGATTATTATTCCTGAATGATATTAATCTATGGAAAAATGATTACTGGAAAGTCTAAGGTTGCAATTTGCTTGAAAATTGTAGAATGGAAAGTTGCAAAAAGGCAGCAGAAAAAGATTGCCAAGTCTACTTGCTAACATGAGACAATTCTTATATTAGACCGATCAATTTATAATCATAAGTACTCAATCGAAAAAAATCATCTGACATCTGCATTTCTGCATTCACACTGATAACAATGTATTTCTTATCATATGAAATGAATTATTTTTTCAAAAAATAACTAACGTATCGATTATTTAAATTCTTACTACATAGTCAGTTTTAAGAGTTATATGACAGTAAAAATTTTAAAAACCAAAAATGTAAACGTAAAGTAATGAAAAATAAAATTTCAGAATACATTATTAAAAGTAGTAATTGTAGAAAGTATATGATTTTGTCAGGTTTAACTAGATTTTATAAAATTGTTAATTTGTTAGAGCACAAATTTCTTGGAGGAATTGATCTATAAAAGTTAAAATGTTTACAGGAAAATATTGATAATACAGTGAAGAAGCCATTTTAAGAAGAAATGAAACTTAGTCATCAGTACCACTTCTAGCTTCACATTCATTTTATTCATGAAACATTGTCAAGTTTTAACTTGCTCACATCACTTTTTAACATATATCTCAAACTATTTATTTTTGCTTCAAATAATGGCAATAATAGCAATAATAGCAATAATAATAATAATAATAAAAATAATAATCAACAGTAAGGAGAGCAGTAATTTTGACAATAATGACAGTAAAACTATTATTTTCGAATACTGAACGTGCAGAAAGGTCTATCTATCCTTTTGCACTTTAACATTGAATCGTTTTCGTTTATTCATACTCCTATTTCAATTGACAAAAAAATTTTTTTTTTCTTGAATAGTTACAAGTGACATTAACAGATGACAGCACTAATTTGATGCGAAAAGTTATGAAAAAAATCATAATCAGGTAGGTATTTGAGAACGTGTAATGTAGATAATTATCCATCCATGTTTATGGCTTGAAAAGATTTGAATTAAAAAGTGATGCCCTAAAATTAGAAAGAAAAAAAATGCAACAAAGAATACATAGATAACTGATTGCAATGAAAATTATTTTGCACAATAATGTTAAAAAAGTGGGCATTAGTTCAGCATTTTAAACTTTTTGTACTGATCTAAGATGAAAAATTGATAAGCTATGACAGCAGCGTTATTAATTGATAATGAATAATATTTAACATAGTGCTTGCTATATTTGTACAAATTTTAAAAGTAAAACATATTTATACTACTTGAGATTAGATTTATATTAAGATTTTGAGATAGTATTAGAGTTTAGTTTGCAAGATTTCTTAATAATTTTACAATATTTATTATAATATTAAATTAAGACATCTTTCACGTCACATTGCTATGCAATATTAAAATTAAGCAATGAAATTTTATGAGTAATCAATCAACTGCAATAGCCAGTACAAATTCAATTCAATAACTTACAAAATGGATTGCACCATTTCATATTTTTGAAATAATATTTGATGGCGTAATCAAGACTGGAAGTAACTCAATATTATTTGATCATTTATATAATTAAAGCTTTTTTTTAAATATAAATTGAAACTTTTATTGCTTGATTGTTGAACACGTTATTATTAACAATTTCTTAGAAAGTGATAAACACTTTTTTTCTTGTCAATTTTGAACAAATAAAATACGTACTAAAATTTTAAAAAAAAAATCAAATTTTAAAAAACTAAAAAGCAAAAGCAATTTTAATTCATTAGAAAAAGATAAGTGCTAAAATTATAATTAAAGTTTATTTATTGTATGGAATAATTCTTTTTTTTTGATTTGACATTATTCAACTTTACAAATAATTACTTGTGTTCATTTTTTTTAAATTAATAAAAGAAATCAATGGATAATGAAAAAGTAACAAGTATAGATGACTTTGTATTTATCAAAAAATGAGATATACAAAGTAAACATAACTTATTTAAATATGTTTAATGGTGAAAAGTAAACAAATGTAAGTAAAGAAGAAGTAGCATTTTATGAAGTGTATTAAATTGCACTTTTTTGATATTCAAATGAGCCATTGCATTTTACAGTTGCATCCATAACTGTAACAAAGTTGTCACACACACATACACACACATACTAAAAATTTGTAACGAAATTACGATTTTATTCATGTCAGTAAGTAATATACTGCATGATTAATCCTAGACATACATATATACTTTGGCATTAATTTAATGAATAGTTTGCTTGCAATTCTTTCAATATATTTTTATGATTATTTATATAGAAACAACTGGTTTATTTGATGTGATTGTGTGCATTACTTTATGTTTAAAACATTTATTAGTATATGGGAAAAAAAAAATGCAAAAATTTTGTAATACGAGGACAAATGAAGACAAAAAATGATTCTAGATTTATTTTCTAAAAATTTTATTCATACTGAGTGCATTAACATGTTTGTCAGTTATGACTAAAATTTTGAATTTTTTTACGAGAAAATAGAAATGAAATAAAATGATTTGAAAACTTCTGATGTTCTCAATTTTTTGCCCTTGTATACAGCCGCGTGCTTTTAATAGACAAGTGTTTATACAGAAAACTTTTTTCGTCTCAATATTGCATTGAGGGCATTTTTTTATTTGAGAGAAACAAACATTTTTTTGAAAATTTCACAGAATCCATTAAATACATTTCAAACCTTATAAATGAGGAAACAATTCTCAAAGTATATATGTTTTTTATGATATATACTTCATTACTTAATCCAAAATAGTAAAGACATACAATATTACCATAAGTGAAATAGAATTTTCACAAGTTTTTCTGCTTGAATTCTATATTTTTGTAATTTTGAAATTAAAAATCTATAGATTTTGATGCACTTATTGATATTCATCAAGTAAGACTATCAAGTAGAAATTCTATATTTTTGTAATTTTGATGAAAACTAAAAAAATAAAAATAATTAAACTTACTTAATACTTTTTATATCTATACAGTATGATAATAATCAATTCTAATAATTACTTTAGAGAAAGAAAAAAGCTATGAAATGAAATGGTCTAACATAGTGGAATATAATATAATTTCAGCGTGGAAGACCGAAAATGAAGCATAATCCAAATCAACAGAACAGTACTTTCAGCTAAGATGCTGAAATCCACTGCTTGTTTCATGATTCCTCGAATGGTAAATTTATGATGCATAGTTAAGAAGATTGAAAATGATTTTTATTACCAATGAAAAGAATATAGACTGATCAAAGAAAGTGCTCAATTCAAACTTATAGCTAAAAAATGTGACTGCGCGAAAAAGACGAAAATAGTGTTGTACCATCATATTTAATACAGAATTTTTTTGTCTTTTAACTTTCATTGATAGAAGCATTTGCAGTAGCTACTAACTAATAATATTGTTTTTGATTAACACATCTACTTGCTATTAATATCTCAATTGGTCGCAGCATCTAATTAAAATACAATAAGTCATCAATTTTTAATTGCGACTGAAATATTTAACTTGTCAGAAAATTTTTCTGTCTAAATTAAAGGAAGAGACTTAATTCTTGGAACTTTATTCAAGATATAAATTATTTTGCAACTGTACAACAACAACAAATGATCACTAGAATGTGATGATTGAAAGCATTGAAAATTTTGTCGCAATAAGTAGTGAACAAAAGAATACCATTAGGTGGTGAAAGTAGCCAAATTAATAATTTTGAATGAATTATTTCATTCTTACTGGTATTCAAAAATTTATAATACTCTTTTAGTTTCCCTAAACACTGATGAGTCTGAATTTGAAATACTGCTTGTTAGAAACACATAACGCGATGGGAATATTATAGAAGGTAGAAAAACACCACTGTACTCATTACTGTGTTTATTACAATAATAGATAGGATTTTGCAAAAATTTTATTCTTCAATATTATTTAATATTTTTAGCAATACTAGAAGTCAGAAATAATCCATAAGCGACCTTTACTTATTATAGATATGACAAAACTGATAAAAATTTGCAATAATTCGATATTGTAGCTATAAAATTGTAATTTTTGATTAACTCCTACACTTGTTAGATTGTTTTTGTTGCTTCTGCGTGAAAAATTAGCCGTTTTTTGTTTAAATCATAAAAATATAAAAATATTTTTAAAAAAGACAATAGATGCTTTTTTTTATTTTAAATTTTGCATTGATATTTAAAAGTTTTCCCAATTTATTTTTGTTATGTCAAAAAAATATTTAACATTTGTCAAAAATTTTAGTGTGAGAAACACTGCAGATTTCATCGACAGAAATTTTTATCACTATTCATAATGACAATCATAAAAACAAATTGTAGTTTGCTATAATCAGATACTTTGTTTTTCAGCAAATTTTGGCACAACAAATTTCGTTCACATCTTAAATTATCCTAATACATTTATCTTATGCTTTTTTTCTATTTCACATGTCTCTTAACTTAAGTAAAACACACTTTCTTCAATGTTATTCAAAATATTGCCTCCAATTTGTTTATTTTTTTTCTAATCTCTAAGGCCATTTCAATTTTCTTCTAAGAGTACTTCAGTTAAGATTGTTTTGGTAGGCGAAAAAGAAAGTTTTTTGCTCACAGAATTTTATTTAAAACAAGTTCTAGCACTAAGATTACTCATTGAATTTGCTTTTTTTATAAATTTGTAATATTGTTAATTATGTTAGTTGAGAATAAGCAACAAGAAATAAATACAAGTTCTGGTAAATAGAAAGATAATAATCATTTTGCATAAAAAACAAATTGAATTTTTATCGGTGCTATACAGTAATTCACTTTTTATCTGCTGTCATTGCATATCAGAAGACAATTTACACAATTATCTATTATGCATGGTAAAATTTACTTTTTTGGGGGGATTTCATGTAGCTAAGGCTTTTTAATAATATAGTAAGCCAGAAAAATTTTCTAGTCAAACACGTTTGAAAGTAAATTTGAATAAGTGATCAATGAGTAATAGTTTTGAATCACAGTATGCTATATAGATAACAAATATCTATTTAGTGCTGCTATCTGTACTTGTAACATGCTGTGATTATTCAAAACTACCACTCAATAACAAATACATCTTCAAGATAAATTGTAGAACATTTGATTCATATGAATCAGTTTTTCTTGAAGCAAAATTCTTGATGACAAGTAGAATACAGTGTGAAGAGTGTAACGTATAGTTAATGGAAACGCGAACAAACCTAAAAATTAAATATAAAAGTTATCAAATTTTTTATTTGCATGAAGCATTTGAATTTTTCTGAAAAAAAGGCGCTTAAAAAAGTGCTAAAAGAGTGTCAATCTTTTTTTCTCTTTCTTTAATAAAAAATGAGAGATCATAAATGTCGTCAAAATTAATCACATTCTGTCGCCTTCTCAGATTATTTGACTGTTGTTTTTATCTTTATGAACTTTAATCAAAAAAACAATAATTCATACCAAAACATTAGATTTGATAATCAAATATAAATGATGTAGAGTTCTTCTCATTCCCAAATAATCCTTCGCATTATCTTATCCTATCACACATTTTTTTCACTTCTAGTTTTTAGCCAATTACACTTCCAGGCTTAGTTCCTAATTTTCATACTTTATAATATTATATGATTACTTAAGTATTTATTTGGTTACTTTGTTTTTGTTTTTTTTAATGCTTAATAAGTATGTTTACAAGAGCAGCAAGTTGGAACTAATTACTTCAATACATCTCTGCTGCTTACACGAGTAATACAACTTTGCATTTCTACTAGAGCGAGTCTATTATTTTTCATTTGGATGTGGCAATAATCAATGTTGCCTTTATGATGATAATTCATGTTTAGCACCGTCATTAAATAGTTTATTATCATGTAAAAGCATAGTAATTTCGAGTAGAAATCTACGTTGAATGTCAGGGATGAATAAATAATAAAAGCATTTCGGATGACGGAAAATGCAACGAAAAAGCTTCTTTCTTTTTACGTACTGCTTCTGCTCGAATTGGTTTTTGAGCAGCCTTCGTTCTGCTCTTCAATTGATTCAAATTCCTGCTTAGAATTGTTATTCCACATCTGAAATTATTCCTTTTCCATTCATATGTCAACATTCGTAATTTAAAAAACTAAATAATCTTCAGTCAGTTATTTTAAATTGTGAATTTTACCAGACTTCGAAAGTTTTGTTAAAAATGACTACACTTTGAAGGTTAAAATAAGGCTTAAGTGAATCTTATATGTTTATTAATTTCTTTACAATTATTTGCTGCTTGTATATGATTGGCTTTAAATCAAAAATATTAATTAGTATTGTCAGTAAAAATCTTTTTTGAACAAAAATAAAACAAATTTGTATTGGTGTATGCAGTATAGTCTTCCAATCATTAATCCTAATATCTAAATCCATCAAACATATTATTTCAATAAGCATTATTAATGATGTGATTGAGAGTGATTATTTCAATCTGTGCAAAAATTATTTGAAGCTCAAATTGAAAAGATTCGAATTACTACCATAATTTGTTGTATGTAAAGAAAATAGAAGCAAACAATACTTTTTTCTCTAGAGGAAATATCTTCTTCAAACTTTCAATACTAAGTGAAGATACTGGCTGGATATCTTTTTTGCTCAGTGCTGCTGGTCCAAATACATGAAATATGAGTTGACCTATAAGAAATTTCATTTTACCATCTCAAACTAAAACTTGTAATAATTATTCTTCGTCTAATTTAGTGCACATTTACAGCTTTGGCTGATAAAGTAAATGCTAAAATATTACATAATTAAATGTGATTAATCATTATTTCTTTCAGCTGAACCACTTCTATAAATTTTTCTGATATTGACGGCAGAATTTAAAAATTTCAAATTACTATTTGATCCTTCACTCGAATAACATTCATTGATTTCAAGCATAAGAAAAGCAATAATTTATCAGTACTAAAAAAGAAAAAAGAATTAGAAATTAACTAGTTAGAAAGGTATTATTGTCCGATATGCCCACGATTAAACAATAATATTACTTATTAAAAAATAAGCTTTTTATCTTGGAAAAATTTTTAACCTTTAAAGATATCAAAATAAGGACATTAGCAAAATTGAACCTATAGGAGCAAGGAAAAATATAGCCAAAACACAAGCAGTCCTAAGCAGAACAGCATCGTGGTACATTGCTGAACCTTTACTTCTGTCTTCAACTTGAGGCGCTAATGCTGCCTGTAGTCGTCAATTTTAATATTTCTTAAAGATTAATTAAGTGAACTTATTTGATGTTATTTATGAACGTCTAAAAATTTAAAATATCTCACTTGTAGTGTTGCTTTCGGTACGAAAGAAAATGTGATAAAAAAGTGTTCTGCAACTTGCCAATCACATCGAAATGATAAGAAAAAACTGCAAAGTATTCGAGCTACTTGGCCTATAGCAATTATGCTTATTGCTTTGAGCACAATTTGAAGTTTCATCTACAATTAAACATCGAATTTAAGTAATTTGTATACTAATTAGTCAAACCAAATGATCTGATTTATTATAGTAATTACTAAAGGAAGACACTAATCAAATTCTTACATTTTTGATGTCAAATTCAAAACCAATCAAACCAAACATGATTTGCATAGCAAAGAAATTCCACATTAACGCCAAAGTTTCTGCTTCTTTGTACTACAAAAAAAAGAAAAAAAGATTTAAGTTTGAATTGTAGAATAATCAGTGATGTTATCATTTTCGATCTATTGCAAAAAATATAAGCCATAGTTTTTATATTATGTTCAAAGAAATAGTGTGACACAGTTTAGAAAAAGCCATAAAGCTTATAATATAGTACCTTTACATTTGACTGTTTCCATTTAATGGTTGCAATCATGTTTAGTACTACTGTTGATATTACTCCACAACTTGGACTACCAATGGCCAATGTTCCAAAATTCAATGCCAAGCACACACTTAGTAAAAGAGTACCACGAATGAAGTGCCGATGATGTGAACCTTCATGAGGAAATACCCACAGCATACGACCTACAAAATTTCAACAGTAACATTGTTTAATCTTCTTAACACACTTTATTATCTTATTTCACTATTACTTTGAATCGTAACTGCTAATACAAACCTCCAATAAAGCCAGCAACTATACTTATCACGATTGTGGTGAAAGTCATCGCAATTTCATACGTTAATTTTACTGTAAATAATATAATTCATGAATGTTGTATATGTTACGAATAAAAAGTTCTCATTTTTTGTCAACATTTTAAATATCAAATTTTTATTGTCTTTTTGCATTTCAATTTCGTTTTCTTTCTTTGCTTATTTCATGTTGAAAGCTTAATTTAAAATTAAAAGTCAATGCGACTGTGCTTAAATTAGTAAAGAGTTTAAAAAATAATAAAAATTGCAGTTTTTTAGCAATTTTATTTCTACCAGTCGTAAAAATCAACGAAGCTGCAACTGTATATGCAGCAATACAAGTCATGTTATCGGCAGCACAAGAAGCAAGAATAGCAGTGGGTAGACCAGATTTTGAGCCATATCCTTTCTTCATCAAATCCAAAATTGCTGGTATAGTCACTGCTGGACCAGTAGCTGATAGAATTGTCCTGTAAATGTTTGATTAAGTGACACTACTTGACATTATATTTCAGTAGTGTTTCTTTAATTTTATTTAAAGAAACTGTTATTTTAGTTGAATGAACTAGACTAATTAATTTATACCCAAATAATATAGATATCTCAAGACCAACTCCAAATATGAAATGAGCTGCAAATATTATAGCACCACCTTCACAAAGGGTTGATATTATACCTAATCGAAAAACTGTTGTCTGAAATATTCTAGACTACAATTTCATTTTATTTTTTAATAAAGAATAATTGAACGAGCCAAAAAATGCAAATTATAAAGCTATAAATGTCATTTTTGAGACCAAAACCTCTTGTATTATTGTTAATTATTAAGGCATTGATGTTTTATTAAAGCATTATTTTCAAATAATAAAATAGTAAATTAAAGAAACATTAATAATGAATGCAACTTATTTCACTTTTGTTTTTCTAAGAGCCACCGGATCAAGTCCCATACCAGCACGCATAAGAATTATTGTTAGTGCTGCTTTCCGAAATAATGCACTCCACATTCCATCTATGTACAGTATATCATTCATAAAGGGGATATTTTTAAAAGCTATTCCTGTTAGCAACACGCCTAGAATGATGTATTTAATTGAAAAAAAATTATCACCAAATATCTATATTAAATTTTTATTCAAAGAATGTAAAGATGATGGATAAATGATAAAATAAATACATTTTCATTTGTATTATTTAACAGCACTTATCACGGCTAAACTTTAAATGTAATGAGTAATTTATAAAGTTACAAAATGACAATATATTTTTAATTAGTTATAAAGCTACAATAAAAAAATAAAAAAAAAGCTGAATAAATAATTATTTTACCGATAATATTTGGTAAATGACATAATGTGAATAATGATCCTACAGCAAGTGCAGCAAGCCATAAGATAAATATTGATAACGCTGAATTAATATGCAAATCGACTCTAGAAAGCATTGCATGTGTATGTCCATCAATTTTAGCTCCTGTCGTTTCTGGCCATGTAATATTTTCTTCTTCATATTTTATTGGATGAATTAAATTTCTTTGTAGTACTGCAAAAACTTTACTGTATATAATAAAAATGAATTATAGCTTCTTTTTTTTTTTGCTGCTCATTTTATTAGCCACTATGCTTGTACTGCATAATTACTTCATGATATTATCTTCTTTGCTATTAAATTATACTCTGGCCAATTAACACAAATGAGACAACTTATCATTTCAAATTTTTTCGAAAATATTATAATAAAAAGATTAGTGGATCAATATGGACTTGTGCTTGTGCGCAAAAATAAGAATGATACGGAGAAAGGTCAAAAGTGAATAGATATGACCAACTTAAGAAGTTTTTATTGTTAAATATAATAGGATTTGTAGTGTTCTTTTACTTCTGAAAAAAAGACACTATTTAATAGTTGAATATTTCAAAGTTTAACAAAGTTAATTATGACCTGAAACAAAAGTAATGTACAGGGAAAGAAAAATTATTGTCGATGCCAGGATCAGATTCACCTGTAAAATCATAAATTATCAGTGAATAATTGGATTAATTAAAATGAAAATACTCCTCTTTGACAGATTTTTGCTTCATAAAATTAACGCTGCTAAATTCTTGCTATTTTCAAAAAATTCCTGAAATACATTGTTTTTGGAAAGCTCTTTAATTTATCAAAATGCTTTAGTACATGCATTTAATTACATATTTCGTTCTCGTTGACATTTCAAAAAAGAATTGATGAACTTTTTCGATACAATTTTATTGAAGCTACGACACTGATACTATCAATATGATACGAGAAAATATTGTTAAAATTTCTTTTACTTGATTAAATTGCAATTACTTTTTGTTTTATAGAAGTGATGTATTGGTGAAATAGATCAGAATGATATATGTGAAGTAAATACAAGGTTCTATATGATTAAATGTAATCAGAAAAGAAATTTGACATCGTTTTTGTTCTATAACTTTTTGGTTATGTTAGTATAAATACAATGCAAGATTTAATTTGTATTACAGAATGGTGATTGCTAATAGCATTGAAAAAGTAAATGAAAACAATTGAACTAACTTGCTTGTAGCTAATAACTCCTAGCAAAACACTTTTAGCTTTTTCTCGAGTTTGCTCAGCGACCACACTAATCTGATGCTCCAAGTTTCCTGCTCCTGCAGCTACGAAACTAAATCTCTGCTCCAGTGATGTACTAAGGCGATGGCTTCTATCCAATGGAAATGTAAGACGTTTTTTAGCTTCAGTAGTATTTCCATCATTGGAACCAGACTTAGTATTATTATCTGTGAAAATATGAGCTACCGAATTTGTTGCTACTGGTATAGTGACCATTGTTTTATATAAACCATCATTTGATTTATTTATGATCTCATTTGTTTCTGGTAACGACATTATTATTTCAGTGTAAGATTGCTAGAAAACAAATTTCAAAAAATCAAAAATGAATTCCAGTGTTCTTTTGCTGACCTGAAGAATTGTACTGATATATTTTCAGACAAGCATTATAAATGTTATTGTATGCTAATTTGCGACGCTTTTTTATTCGGTAATTCCAAATAGCAATAAGTCATTAATACGTGTGCCATTCCTTGGTATTTTATAATTATTTTAAATACAAATTATTTTTTTTAGAAATGATCTCGTGAATTGAGCACTTTTCTTCTTTTACCAATATACGTGTTCCAAAATGATACATATAATTTTACGTATATTAACTATATAAGAAAATACTTAATTTGTGACAGGTAAACTAGTTTTTCTTGTAGTATAAAATACTGTTATTAGTATTTTACTATGCTTACAACTGTCAATTTCAATCATTTTATAAATAAAATTATTAAATTTAGCTCACTTCTCGTTTTTTTTCTTTATTTAATTAAAATAGTAATCTAATTTATTTTTACTTTTCTTTGTTAACTCTTTGGTTAAATATTCAGCATAAAATAACAAGTAAATAAGAAAATAAGTTACGATAGCATGATAGTATCAATTTACGTGATACAAAAAAGTAAATAAGATCTGTTTCCGAGACAATTTCAATTGTGAAGGCCAAAATTCATTAATTTAAAAAAAATTAATTCAATTTTTTGAGTAAAATGATAAAAATAATAACGGAAAATTCCTCTCCAATGCATTCTTTGGGCTTTACTGGAAGCCTTGCAACATCTATGAGACTGCACAAAATAAGCTCGTAATTTCAAAAACTGAATTTTTATGTCAATTTTAAACCAAGACATTATTTCCAAACTTCAAACAATGCTATATTAATGTTCAGTTGATGAATTAATAATGAAGTTTTGTATTCATCAATTACATCTAATGCTACAAGTACAAAGGTATTTTTATTACCATCCATTTAAATTTTAGCATACTCTAAGCTTTTTAAAAGCTGAATACATTAGTATGCGCAATATTACAACATAACAGAGCTTATTCATAAAGTATTTATTCCTTCCATATAGTTTGCTTTAAAAAACATTAATATTTAAATTATTTCGCAAAAATTCTACCATATTACTAATATTTGCTCAAGCAAATGAATGCATTTATAAATTGAATAACAAAGTAAATGAATGTAAAATTTATTAATTTAAAAAGTTTTGGATAGCCACCGGTACCGCTTTTAATTAGAGGAAGCAATTTTTTTAATGACAGTTACAAAGTGGGGTGTACGATCCAATATGATACAGCGCTCAGATATTATGCAAATTTAAAAAATAAAACAACATGCACAAAATACTTTGCTCTCCAAGTAGAAAAAGGTCAAATAAATCCAGTACTGTAAGCAAAATTTTAAACGAAAAATGAGAGAAATCGTATCTTTGTAGAGTGAAATAAATTACACTTGTTTACTCGGTTCAAATATTGCCTTCAAAGTTGATGCGATTATAATATGATACTGAATAAATACATTATTTCATGCTATTTTGCTGCTCCTAAATGAAATCTATCATTTGAGGAATTAAAGAGACAACTGAGGAATTAAAGTTTCCAGCATTATGCACTATACATAATACATATATTTATACAAAAATTAAATTTATAACAGAATTGAGTGAACTTTTGAAATTATCGTTTATTTAGACAAATTTACGCCGTAATATGACTGAGGGTTCAAAGTTTAACTGCATGAAATTTCTTCTTGAGCAATTTTTGCTTGAATATATTTCATGTATTTGTATTTGTTCCATTTTTATTTCTTGGTATTTTACTCATTTGTATTTAGCTAATATCTAGCTCCATAGATTTTAATTTGCATTCTTTTATTATTTGAATATTCTTACTGTTTATTCTCATTTTAGCGCTAGATTTTAATATCAGAAGTAATTACATTATTGTAGTCAATCCATTGTGTAAAATACAAGTATCAACTCAGGACAATCAAGTTCACTAATTTAAAAATTATTTGTTTTGAAAAACAATAATTTTGGGAATACAAAGAGCAGAAAAATTAAGGCAAGCAATTCAGTAAGAAAGCAATCAGTGCATTTTATGTATTTCATGTAGAGTTTATCCTTTAGTACAGTTTGTCATATTTAATTTTGAATAGAAATTTATGAATATCTTTGAAGAAGTTTCAAGTATATTCTTTACTATACAGACATGCCATTTGACATTAATTTATATTCAGAAAAGTTGTTTGTCCTTAGAAACACTTTCAAAATTAACATTCATATTCAAGGTTAAATATTATCATTTGTCACTGCAGTAAAAAATTTTATAAATTATCGCCACGAAATATGATGATTTATTATTTATTAATTAAATGCGACTGGTAAGTTTGACTTCATGAATATAATAAATAAAAATTTATATAATGGTATTCTAAAAAGTGAAAGATTATTCTAATTTGCGAATGTCACAGAAAAAGAAGCTCCCTTCCATCGGAAACGAGCTTCTTTTTTTAATACAATCATCACTGTCGCAGAAAAATGAATCCATTTGCATTTATTGTTCGCAATTAAAATTTAAAGAGCGCCATTACTAAATTGCAGCATTACTTTATGTTTAAAGTGAATTTAAATAAATTATTACTGAATGAAAGCGAAAAAATTGTATAGTTTTGTCATGACTTGTACTGTGATTTGAATGCAAAAAATTTTTTCGTTTTAACGTGCACTTCAAGATGATGATCAAGTCAATCTGTGTGGTGAGATTCCAAAACAATACTTTACTAGTCCATTTTTAAACAAGATAAATGATGTCATACTACAAAATGATTGAAGCAAATATACTCACTTATATGCTTCAATATTTGTCAGCAAAAACTTCGCTTTCTATCACAATAAGAAGGAATTACTTTTACATGTAAATGTGAGAATATAAATTAGGATGAAATTGCCTTTTGTAAACTCTTTGACATATTGTTCGAAGCTGTTAATTGTGTTGGAGAAGAAGCCGTACTGTACTGATAATGAAATGACCTGAAATTAAAATACACACAAATGTAGTGCGATTAAATTCTTTAGATTCATAACAATTTGAATTTTATGATTTATATTTTTAAAATAAATGTTTGAAATAAAAATTACCAAATGTGGATAACAAGAATACACCAATTATACACATAAACTGCATTAAATGTTCAATGAGCTATTGCTAATTCTTTTTTTCATATTTTCTCAGAACAACTATTTGTTATTTTCTGATGGCAAAGCAGTCACAGCTTTTTTTAACAGTTTATTAGGAGTACATCCCAACTGATCAACTGTTACTGATAACCTTTCTGATGTTTAGAAAGCAACAAACAATAAGCACTTAATGAAACGATGTTCAGTATCAATGACAAAAATTACTATTGCTCAAGTTTTTATCGAGATAATTTTTATCGTTATCAAAATTAGAAAACTGAAGTTAGCAAAAAGTTACCTGAACTGTAGCTTTTGGTAGATAACACAAACATGAACAAGTTTTTAAGCAAATAGCAAGAAGTGCTAAAACAAATTTTGCATTTAATCTGATCACAAATCCAATTCCCAGTACAGCTTGTTCTTTTAAGAGTATGTTAATTTGTAATTAAATTACAAGTAAATGAAACTACAGTTTAAAAAAGTTCACATTTAAGTTACTTCTAACACAATGCTAGTTTCTACTCAGATAAACGTTACAATTTGTTCAAAACGAAGTAATAAGTAATCTGATTAAAAAGAAAGTCATGACCTGGCAAGAAAAATAAAATACTTATAAAGTAGAAATTCCAAATGAGTTCAAATGTTTTCATTTCATGAATACTCTTATTCTTTCTTACAAAATGCAGAAATTATTAAATTATAAACTATCTTTTGTGAAATGCTTGCTGAATAATTTGGAAATTATTAATTTAAATTTTATTCATTAAGTAAACGGATAATTTTTACAGTTCTCTTTTAAATAATTTCAATTCAATCATCTTTCAAATAAAGATGTCACTTATTTTCTTTCCATCTACATCAAGCAACAGTAGTCATGACAATAGTTGCTAGTATCACAAGAAATGGAAAAAATATAATTTACACAGTTAGTACTAATGCTAACGAGAAATATAAACAATAATATTCATTCTAAAAGATGAACATAACACATTACTTCTCGGAACAATCATAAAATGAATCCTTAAAATTATTACCATATCATGATTGCTTTGATTTTTATGTATTTTTTCATAATGTACCAATGATAATATTAATTTTGAAAAAAGTAGGAAGCAAACTCATCCAGAAGAAGATCCATGATAAAACCTCAAGAACCTAAAATATTATGAGCTTGATAGCAGCTTAAAATTCCTTTTATCTCATCACAAAAACATTTTATCAAGTCAATACAATAAACTGAGCACGAAAATATATTTCAAATGAGATTTGAAATAAATTATTTATTTTTCTGTTATCCAAAACCAAAATTATGACTCAAGTCATAATTCTCAACTCGATAAAATTACTTAATACTGAAGTCAATAATTTTTAGAAGAAAAAAGTTGCATTGCAAATAATTAATTCAAAAACATTAGCGAAAAAGTTTGTAGGAAAATTTTTTTCCTAATTACCAATTTTAAAATATTAAATCTATCTCTTAATTTCATTCACTTCTTAAGCATTAAATACAATGTGATTATTAATAAAATACGGTTTTTAAGAATAGTTTCGGGTTTGTTTAGAAAGAAATTTGGACTAATTTATTAAGTCATCTAAAATTATGATTACCAATTGAACTTTGTGGATCTAAAAAATGCCAAAGTTAAATGGCAATTAATATTTCATTGGCTATTATTTCTGAAATACTAAGCATATAATGCGTAACAAATCTAAAATTATAGAAAGTTTCGTCAACTATTTAATATTTAATTTTTTGAAATA